TTGTGATATGARAYAGCCTGTAAGAAACAAAAAATCAGGCTTGTATCACAAAGCGACTGTTTTTCAAGGATAGGACAACTGATCTACCAAGACAGACTGATAGACATGCTTATATTTCACATCTGAAGAAACAAAATCTGCGGTTTAACAAAGTGACTTTTGGAAGATGAGGCAGAAAGGAACCYGGAGTACTAACACTGAGTTAATTCATGTATTTCTGCATAAATATGACTGCATCACACAATTTTAAGTACACTTACACTGCTGTTGTGAAGGTAGTTAAGTCACTTTGGTATCTGCCAAGCATTTTCCATTTTTTTTGTTATAACAGTTTCTCTGCAGCGACTGATTCAAGGCCCTTTTCTCATGGCCAGGCGGATGGGTATTTTGTAAATAAAATTAAGTAGCCTTAGGGGGAACTGCCTTCTGTGTCTTTGAGATCTTTTGTGACCCCGAACTTTTAGACTGTGTTTTGAACTTGCCTCGATTAACAAGAGCTCTTGTGACGTGAAGGGAGGACTCTGGGCCTGGCAGCCATCGAGGGCAAAACGCGGGCGAGGTGCCCCTGTAAATCACCAAATCCCTCCAGCTTCTTCCGTCCCGCAGGACACGAGGACTGACGAAGAGAGCGAACAACAACGCCGCGATTCTCATGATTGCCATAAGCGCAGCTACGGCGGCTCCCGAGGCCACCCCACGAAGCCGGGCCCCGTGGCTTCATCTGCCAGTGTGGGATGGGAGCCACGCAGGAGGAGCTCCGGGGAGCGAGCTCTGCCCCCACAATGCGGAAAGGGAAGGAAAGGACAGGAAAAGGGGAGGGAAAAGGAAAGGAAGAGGAACGGGAACAAGAAGCACCTCCCGCGCACCGCCTCTCGCCCTCAGCGCGCTGCTGAGGCCACTTCCGGCCGCCCCCGCGCGCCGCGATGACGCACTTCCTCCCGCCAGCCCCACTCCCCCGCCCCCGGGCCGGAGGTGCCGCCGCCATTTTGCTGCTCTCGCTGCCGGGTCGGGGTGCGGCGGCTGCGGCCGGAGGAGCTTTTTTAAAGGGGTTTTAACCCGCTCGGGGCCCCGCGCCCCAGCCCGGTTTTAACGCGCCATGTCCGGAGAGGGAACCGCCGGCGACCAGGTGAGCGGGGGCAGGGTGAGCGCTTAAGCCGCGCCCCGACGGGAGCGGTGCGGTGTGGGCTCGGCGAGGGCGGGCGTGTGGTGAGGGCTGAGGGCAGCGCGGGTCTGCTCCGGGCCCTGAGCTCGGCAGGGCTTCTTTGCCCCTTCCCGTCCCTCGGAAAGAGCTGCGTGTGTCCTGTTCCCGAGCGGAGCCGCCCCTGCCCAGGCGGTGACACCCCAGGAGCTCCGGTTCGCTCGGCCATCGCCTTCCTGGCTCAGGGCGAGGTGGACAATGGACGCCTCGCCCAGCGGAGCCGTTCGTGGTCTCGTTTGTTCGGAGTGGCTGAACGCAACGCACTCGGGAAGAAAACTGCAACCCGTACAAGCTGTTTATAGTGACAGTTTGCGGTGTTACGTAAAGTGAGCGTTGGCTGAACTCAGGCGTTCTATGGATGAGGCTTCTTTAACGACACCGTCTGATTCCAGAATAAAGTATTATTAAAAAACACTTAATCGTTAAACTAGAAACAATAAAGATGCGTTTATTTGAAAAAGGGTCTTGTTTGTGATACAGCATGTATTCCGTTGAGTAGGGAACGAAACTAAAACGCTAAAAGTGCCACCTCAACATGAGGAAGAACTTTACGTTTAGGGTGAACAGCTGCCCAKGGAGGGCGTGGAGTYTCCCTCTCAGGACACATTCAGAACCCACCTGGACTCATTCTTGTGTAATTTACTGCCACAAGAGACCTTGCTGGGCAGGGGGGTTGGACTAGGTGATCTCCAGAGGTCCCTTCCAACCTTAATAATGCTGTTATTTTGTGAAATAACTGCAGTTTCAGTGGAGTTTGGCTTGGGTATTTTTAATAGACTAAAGTGTTTATTGGCATAGCCTCTTCATTTGTATGGAGGTGCCACCAGAGTGTTGTATTTCACCTTTTTTAATCTGATAGTRCTGTGAACCATCTCTGACTTACAGGCAGAGTTTCTCCAAAACTGCTTTTTTTAGTGGTTGGGATTATGTATCGGTATTAATTGGAGGGGTGGGGATGAAAATCCTGATCGAGGGGAGAGTGATTAATCATTTATGTGTCTYGGTGGCCAGTGTAGCCTTTAGAAATACTTAAAATCAAGCTGATGYCTTAATGCATATTTAAATAGTTTTTTCTTTGTAGAATGTTAGTTTCTTACAAAACTGTTAATTTCTGTGTGTCTGAGCCTGTACCCCTAAAAGGTGCTGTATATTTTATAAGATCACAATTTTGGTGGATGAGGTGGGTATAGGAAAGATAATGTCAGAATATAAAATACCAAGTTTCTGCCTCACTGGGAAAATTTCCCAAATTTCCCTGTGGCTCCATGCTGATCAGGCTGTTAAGTGTACTTGAAGTATGTTTGAGCAAGAGACTCTTCAGAATGGTTCCCTTCATCACGAGATAGATGGCTACAAAGAAGTAAGAATRTGCTACAGCAAAATTTTACTAATCCTGGTGTGTAGTATGTTCCAGATTTAATCTCCCCATTCCAAGATAATTTAAAAAAAAAGATGTTTCATAGCATAATCTGGCTGTTTATCAAAGTAACGTGTGTTTCTATRGCTTGTAAAATGTTACTGTTTAACTTCAGCCATGCTGACTTCAGACTTTACTGTCTTTTTCAAAGGGAATTGGATAAGCAAAAGCTTGGGTTACTACTGAAGTAAAAGCAGCAGTTGTRATATTGCTATGCCATGTCTCAGGGGTTTAGCATTCAAAAACCTGTAAACTGTTATTTGCAGCTCATGTAAGGCATGTAGCTTAACCTGTCACTTGGGCTTTGATCCATACCAAGGTTCATCTTTTTTGCCCATTGTGATGACTGTGTTCATGTTGGGTGCCATTCCGGTTTTAAAAAAAGCTCTTATTGGTTGGGTTAATTTTTTTTTTATTTTTATTTTTACTGCTCTATCCTCCTAATGAGGGCTTCTGATTTCCTAGAAGTCTCTAATTTTGTTAAGGTTGCCTCCCTTCCATCAGTTTTCTTCAGTTTCAATAATAGCTTTTTTTCTCACCTGGCAGCCTTCTGACTCCYAATGTTGCTGTAGGCCATAATTAGATCCCAGTGTCTTTAGCAACACTGCATAAGTTCTCAGCACAGAAGCTCCCACTCATGCCATGGTGTAGCCAGAGAGGTTCCTTCCGTGAGCCTGATTGTTGTCTAGCATGGCATGAGGGATCTAAATCCAGTGTCCCTGGAGGGAGGAACTTCAGGACCTCGTGATTAGGGCAGTTGGGCCTATTCCCTTCCCACACTGCAGCTGCTCCAGACTTAAACTAGTGCTGCCTGAAGGGCCTCTAACTTAGCATGCAGTGTTCTGAAAGTTCTCAGTCTGTCTTACTGTAGGAAACTGAAGCTGGGCAGAGGTTGGATTGCAGCTGCCTTTCCTGTTTCAGGTTTCATCTGTTGCTCCTGCAACCAGCTCTGAGGTTTTGTGTGCCGTTTTCATTGGTGGTCATAGGGATCGGTGCAAAGAGGGGACTGCACAGTTAATTCACATCTGAGCTGTGCCTAAGGTGTAACTGTGGTAGTGCATGATGCAGGGGAGAAATCTTTGACGAGTCAGTGATCTTACCACTTTGACCCATTCTCTTGCAGGGGGTGGTCTGCATCTTGCTTCCCAAAAGGACTGCCAAAAAGCAGCYAGGTGCATAACAAATTGTCATGCTGTTTGCAGCAAGTACAGAGCTCTMTAGTGTAGAAAGGATGAGCAGAGTGCAATGTTGAATTGTAGGAAGAGAGGGAGGATWAAAGTAAGGTTTTAGACATAGGTGGGCTTTGGGGGGCTTTGTTGTACCTGGTGCAGTGCAGTGGAAATGTGGCTTTACTGCCTTTAGGCCAAGCTTAGCTGYGGGAATGCTTGCACTGCTTTGCTGTGTGGATCAGGAGCCTAATCTGTGTTATGTAGGTTGTCTCCTTCTTATGTTACTGTAGAACAGACTGGAGCAGGAGGACAAAGAAATACGATGCAGCCTGTTAACTATGTTGGACCAAATTAATCCTACAGAACCAGTTGAACCGTGTGAGGACTTAAAATCKGTTAGGCCCCTGCCAGACTTTTGGCAAAGCTCCATGATGTTTAACAAACCAGAATTTCCAGGGTCAGTTTCTGGAATACCATACATTTAGCKCTGTATAATAGGAATGCACTTTTGTAGACTGAAAGGCTGCAYCTGACACTGTTTGCCAGAAAATTCCCTGACAAGCCCTTTTCTGCCTAACGTGTAAGGGTTACAAAGAGCCCAGGCTTGCACCTGTGCATGTCTTTACATTTTTCTTGTCCTTAATGTACACATCTAGTTTCATTTCAGTTGTGGTGGTCGTTTCATGTGCTCTTTAACAAGACTTAAATTSCTTGTTCTCTCCACTTGTTTGTACCATGGCACAACCCCTTTTTTCCCCTCACTTAAAATGTGCTTGCCAGGAATCAACTTAATCTGAAGACCATGTAACATTTGCTTTACCCCTGCATTAATTGTCTTCTAATCTTTTAAAGTTTAAAACTTGCATTTCCTGGTTCCTGGAGCTGTTTCTAAGATACATACCCCAGTCTGTGATGCATTTTTTACGTTACATGAATATGGATCTGGTCTAAGACTGAGCTGTGGAAAAAAAGATGTCTGTATTGTCTCTGTGRCTATAGAAAATACCRCAAAGACAGTTTGTTCTGGCTTCTTGGTGGTACTTTTGTCCCTTTTGATTCCTTCCTCTCTTTGTCTTGTGTCTGTTTGATGTGGTACATCATGAAAGTTTCTGCATGTGAAATACAATAGTAAATGTTGTAGTTAACTTTAGTTTAACATTTTAAAAATAGATGTCACGGAATGCAGTGCTGAAAGCAGATTTTTCTTGTCGGATTGTGTGGGTTTAACATCTCAGGAGGAATCATTTTAGAGAAATCTCTTTAAAAGTAGATGAAATGATTACAGGTGTTGATGAAAGAGGGCTTTTGAGTTGGTAATAGTGGTTTAATRCCAATTTTTACACAGTTGTAAACAAATTATAATTTAGGTGTATTTCCAGAGTCAGTAAGTTCCAGGTATGCCAGTAAGCAGTTAAAGTGAAAAAATCTGTCAGTCCCAACATTTGGGAAATAGTCCTATGAGGAAAAAATTGTAAYCATTACTAATCTAAAACTTAGTGCAAAGATTGATAAACTGAAACTACAGTTCCCCCAGTGAAGGGATGTGTTACCAAGGGAAGGATTTTAAAACTTGCTCTGTGCACATGCAGCTATAAATAAACTTTAAAGAAAAAAAGCATTAGGTGAAACCAACATGTAAATTTAAACTGGACAACTAACAGTGCTTGTTCAGCTGCATGTAGCATATTTAAAATGTATACAAGAGCCGATATGTCTTGTTTGTGGCAGTTCTTATTTCATAATCAGTGGTAGTTTTTAAAGCAGCTTAAGCTGGCCGCTTCATAGATATAACAGCTATTTTAAATACRTTTCCTTTTCACTGCAGAAGATACTTTTGTGGAAACAGGAGGATGCTGTAAGCAATTGGATTTGTTTAGTGGTGCCAGTAACTGAAAGGTGTTTAGGTGCTTTCTTAGACATTTTGGAGTCATGAAGGTCCWTTCAAGAGGCCTTCAGAAACTGTTGCTTTTAGGAGTGTGGTATAAACCAAGACTGTTCCCTTGGTGGTGATTGATAAATAAGCAGATACTAAAAATCAACTTTATTTCTTCTGGTTTTGTTCCCTCAGACATACTTTTATGAATTCAGAAGTGGATATTGTACAGGTTATGTTTTTTACAGGAAGGAGCTCCTAGATTTCTTCCTAGAAAATTTGGTTCTAGATCTCCTTAGATTTTGGAAAGATATTTTTATATTTTTAGTGTCTGTGAAACTCAAAATCTATTGCTATTTGTCRGTGTATAAATAATAGAAGGGAAGTTGTGAAGTAGGCCAGTTGGTAATAATGTAAACACTTGTAGAAACCCTAAGTGCTYAAATAATTCCTTGACCTTGAGGGAGTTTTTTATGGGATAGGATCCTTATTTTCTAAAGATCTACTGAAGAGAGTTAACCAAAGCAGAAGAAAAAGAGTGGTTTACAGTCTGTCTGCAATATTTCCTTGCAATACAATTTTTAGATTACATAAAGAAAAGCTAAAAGCCAGKATCTGATTAGGTTGTTTGGTGTTAGTAAAGCTGATCTAAGATGGGGTCAGTCCTGAATAGTTTTGTATCCTTTATTCTGCATCCCTTCTGATCTTTAAACCAAGGGCTTGAACCATTAGAAAGTTAATCACTTTTCTAATAGGATTATTTTTCTGCTGAATTTAACTCCCTGAACTGGCTTGTTACAGGATGAGCTTATCTGAAAATGCTTATCTAGGTGCAGGGTAATGGCAGTGAACACCCAAGAATTAAATGTTCACAGTTTTGGATATTGGCTCTTTTGCAAGCAGTATAATGAAAAACACATAATCAAAAGCTGTATGCCCTTGAACTGTGATAACAGCAGCTCTAAACACAAAGTGCAGTTAACACAGAGTTCTCAAAACTAAGATCAAATGTCTTYTGGCTGTAGTTGGGTTAGGTTAAAAGTCAAGCTCTTTGTTCCCTTTTGCTGTGTGCTTGCAGTACACGTTAGTCCTCAAAATGGCTGTTTGTTCACATACGGTCYAGACTGGAAATCCTAAGTGTTGATTCCTTCAGAATGTTAGGAGTGATTATTTGTGAAGATGAGGCTTTATTTTTGCTCAGGTAGAGCCAGGATGCTGATTTGCTTGCAGGGCAGTGTGTCCCTGAAATGTAGATGGCTTTTATCTTYGCTGGAGATGAGAGGGACAGAAAGTCCTGACTGTAGGAAGTTGAGTGTTTTCTTAAATACGGTGTAAGGTATAAGCAAGTCCAGGCAGTCCAGTTTAAAACTGTGATCAGAGTTATTTTCAATTCTGTAGGGTYCCTATAATTTGTCTTGTAAAACTGCACGGAGAACGTTATCTCCTACTGCTAAGTGAATATTKGCCAACTTTGGAAATCAGTAGCTTTTCTGTTTTCCAATTAAAAATGGACATTTCATTGTGCTCTTTGCACAGATTGAGTCACGTATCAAATAGGCAAAATTAAATTAGGATTGCTGTGGTTGCGCATTTATCCCCGTCTGTTTTYCCCTGAGCTGTTTCAGTCTTTCTGAGTTTATGACCCTGTATCTGCATAGGTKAAATTAAATTCTTAGCCGTCTTAATTCCGCTGACACTGCAGTGAAATGTTTATTTTTTTGTYGCATGGAAAGGTTTGAGATAATACAACTAAAATACTGCTATAATAGTTGAAAGGTAGTTCTGGGGCCTATTCTACTTGATGTTGTTTAAAAGTCAGTACTTAGAGTGCAGGACTTTGTCTTTTTGTATGGTGGGATCCTTTTTATTGCAGCAGAYATTAATGGTCCATCTGACAGGCATTTCTATCTAATTGTGTCCAGATCAATGTATTTGAGATAAGTAGATTTCACTGGGATGATTGTAGTGAGAAGCAGTGCTTAGCACTGATATTGTATTTGAATTTGCTTTCTTGAATAAGMAGCATTTCAGCTTTGGGTCACCTGTAGGAGTAGCTTACAAAAACAATCTTTAAACTTTGGAAATTTCAGCTTCAGTGCTGTTTCTGTAAGGTGAAATCTGTTTATGCATATCATTTGGGAAGAAATRAAACCACTAATTCATTTTATACTATTTTACATCTGTGAAGCTTGTATCAGTTGAACCTGGTATTACAGAATCAGAATTTTGATGGACTTAGGGATGTTAAACTATTCATATGGCAATTTATAAATTTGCTACTTTTGAGCTGACACCTTTCAGCTACAGATTTTTAATCTGATTTTTTAAAATCACATTRGTTTTATAATGGCTTGTTGTGTGCYTTCCAAGCTMCAGTGCTTTGCACTCAGCAATTAATGTTAAGAATKGTTTGAAAAGTGAATCAAGTAGCATAATGGTCTTTAAACTCCTATAAGGCCCAGCATACTGTTTTTTTTTTCTTTTCCCTTTAATGCATATCTGCCACTACATGACCATTTAACAGTTCTGCAACATTGTCATCTGTCCATTTTGTAAGTAGTTTTATTTTAAAAACATGTGTAAAGGGATATGCTTTGAATTATATTCTGCTAGTAGGGCTGGCACAAAAATTGGTAATGCTGAAGGCTATTCAGAACTAGTCTATTTACCTTCTGTTTTGCTTTATAATGGSTAATGGTACCTTTGAAAGAGAGGAGTGTTGGTTCTCTCTGTGCTGTTTTTCTTTTTTCAGCTTCAGAAGGATGCATTGACCCGTGTACTGTGCTCTGGGCTGGCCCTGCTTGGGCCTGGAGGCTGAATTAGGTGATCCACTGTGATCCCTTCCAGCCTGCCCCATGCTGGGATTCTGTGACCTAGACCCAATATGAAGAATTAAAATAAATTCCTTTAAGTTATCTTTCAGCAAATGACGGAGATTTTTTTTTATATTTTTTGCACAGTTAATCAGTCACATTGTACTCTACATTAGAGATGAATGTTCTAACAGTAGTTGTATAGTGATATTGTAAAATTTCATCAGCAGGGTCTTACAGTAATGCATTAAGGGTTACTGTTGTTACATCTCACAAAGATAAGAAGGTAGTTGTGATTTTTATATTGGTATTACCTCCTAAAAAGGAGACAGGTTTGCAAAGTTMGTGAATAAATTGTTTGGAGTACAGGTCAGAGCAATATTTCATGCTTAATCATGAACTGGATCATTTAGCATTGTAACAAGCATGTATTTTAAGTGTCTGTGATCTCCAGACTATAATTTTTTATTCTACTTTGTGTTAACAATGTTAGATCTAGGAAAAAAATCCTAAAGCMAGTTATTTCCAGCAGTGTTTGAAAGAACACTTAAACCTATACTATAATAGTAACTATATGTGTATTCAATTTGGTAAAGCTTTTAGCTTCAAAAAAACTTTTAAACTCCCATAGGAATGTCTGAGTGTTTAAAAAAAGGTGGTTTTAGTGCCAAATCTACAGGAAGGCATCTTCCTGTAGGCTCGAGAGATCAGAAAGTTAACAAAGATATTGTGCTTGTATAGTGAGTATCTCTTTCTGCTACAACTATAATCTCCTGGTTTTCTTGTTAAACATGTGATACCAAATACTTGCTGTTTTCCATATGCAGAATGACTCCTGCAGTAACCTGGATTTGCTTGCCTGAGCTCTGTAATAGAAATACTGGTCTGAATTTACTTTTTGCATCTTAGAAGTTCCAGGCAGGTAAAAATGTTTAAAATTCAGAGTGCAGTAAATTTTCTGTCGAATTTGTTCTCATGTTTAGAAACCTTGAATTTGTTTAGTCTAACATCTTGGTTGATCTTCATAACATGTTGAACTTGTGCTAAGAGGGTATTATCTTCCTGGGAAAACTCGTTTTCCGGATGAATTTCAATTTAGTAACTCCGTCTTAAAAACTGAGCTCTGCAATGTTACRCTGTCAGAATGTTATCTTTAGCTTGACTGTGTAGGTGGGACAGAACTTTTCAAACACTGCTTGTGATCTCTTATGTCTTCTTTTTAATTTTTCTAGACTGCTGAATATGTCCCAGAAAAAGTGAAGAAAGCTGAAAAGAAACTTGAAGAAAATCCATATGACCTTGACGCTTGGAGCATTCTCATTCGAGAGGCACAGGTTTAGTGATATAGGATTACATTTCCTTATCTATGGTCCACTCACACTATTTGGTTCTGGAGTAAAATCAGCATATTCATTTACATAAATCATAATATTGTAAATGCTGTTTTGATTTTCAATTTTTAGAATCAGCCTATAGACAAAGCACGGAAGACCTATGAACGCCTTGTTGCCCAGTTCCCCAGTTCTGGCAGATTCTGGAAACTGTACATTGAAGCAGAGGTTAATATTTTTACATTTTTTCTTATATAACATTTAATAGGATTTTAAGTTTCTATTTTTATAAGCATGAATAAGATAGGCACATAATATCTAGGGGAAAGGGGGTTTTTAATATGCCTTGCCTTTATTTTGTAAAATAGGTACAAAGGAATGATTAAAATGAATTCTAAAATATTGGGTCTTTTATGAGTTGATGATTGTTGCATTATGGAATTGCAACAACATTAAAACTGTTTCAATGGTATTGGAGTGCTTTAGCCTTTTATTTGCTTGTCGTGTCAATTTATTGCCTCCYGTGTCATTTACTTAGAGGACTTTTTTTTTTTATTTACACATACAAACTTACTTGAGTGATTTTCTCTGAAAATTTGGTTCTTTTATTTTTTTGCTTTCTTAGGAAATTGAGTGTTGCTGTGAAAAGTGTTTGCAGAGAGGGTGTGGGGGTGGAAGCTAATTTCTGGAATGAAAATGTATTAGCACAACTCATTAGCTTTTAAAAATCCCAACCAAATTGTGATTGTTTACATAAATGGGTAAGACTTATCACTAAGTGCATTGGTCAGTTAAACTGCCTTTCATGACATGCCATGATAAATTCCCTTATAATCATGGTGAGGGGGCGGCGGTGTTCATTTTGTTTTGATTCTTCTCTGTAGCTGTTATTTAATGTTAATACACATGGTTTCTGTGGGCATCTTCTAGCTGCACATTTTTCTTGAGACAGATTTTCTATGTGCTGAACTTCAGAGCTGGGGACCTGTRTTCTGTAGATGAGAAATGAGCTAGCTCTCTTTTTCTTCCATTTTTATGTGGAATTTCATTGCATAGTAATATCTTATTTTACATTAAATTACATATCCAGACATGTCTGGCAGTAAATTTTGAAGATAAGGAAAATTTGGATCATGGGAATCGAACAGAAATTTTTATATTGCAGTTTATAATAAGATGCTAGTGTACAAAATGATGCCATCTAAATTGAATCTTACCAAATTAAGTATATAGAGTTTTCACTATCTTGTTTCCAGCAGTTTGTAGAAGTAATTCGAATGTTAGTGGTTATTCCTGTTTGGGAGATTGCAAATATACGAGTATGTATTTTTCCTTTTTYCTACATATTTTTCCTTTCTTTTCCCTACAGCCAAATCTATTAGCCTCTTGTACCCTGAAATGTTTGCTACAGGTTGTAGTCGTCAGAATCTAATCTAATTTCAGAATTACATTGAAGTACCTGATTCCTGTGCCTTTTAAAAACCTTTATCTTTCCCATGCCTCAAATCTAAGWGTTGAGTAAGGGCATCTCAGAAAGCCAGTTCTGTACTGTACATCCTTCAGCAGAAAGACCTGATACCATTGTAAAGCTTTGTATCTTAAACTGCATTAAGAGATGAACTGACAGACATTACCTCCCCGAATCAATATCTTTTAATAATTTCTAATCTAAGACTATTTAGATACATTAACAGTGGCAACGCTTGTAACAGTCTAGGGTGTAATATTTTACCTGCTCCCTCAAGGAAGGCACATCAGCAGGTCAGCACTTATGGTAACCATGTAACACGAGGTAAATCTGAGGGGGAAAGAATTGGTGCAACCATCACTAGTTCTTGAGTGTCTGCTTATTAATACACTTCCAGTATTAGAGAAATGAAGTATATGATTCTGATGTTCAAAACAATGGAAAAATAGGAGCTGTAGCGTTCTGTTAGAGGTTACAGCTGAAGAGGGTTATGTTTGAAAGAAATGTAAGACGGTAATTTTCAGAAATTTATCTTTCATCTTACCAGCCAAATTTTTTTAATCCCAGTTATGGCTTAATTTTCAGCTTTTCTATCCTGGTTCCAGTAACATACTACAACTCTCATGGTAGCCAATTTACCAACAAAGCAATATGCTTTTCTCTGCTTCTCTTAAGCATATGTGAACATATATAGCTATAAGTTGAAATAGCTTATTTCCAAATTACTTTCTAAAAAAAACATAGGCTCATACAACTGGGCACCTTTGTCAGTGTTGGCTTCAATTGCGTATCATATGTACAATYCATCTGGGTGAATTCAAATCAAAATGCTTTATCAAATGTTCTTTTAACACTGTGGTTAAATTAAGACTTAAGTCAATTTTTGTAGGCTGCCTGAGGTAGAGGAATTGCATTCAGGCATCTTTTATTGCAGCCTTAAGATGTACAAGGAGTGTAGGGAAAGTATTTTCTAAAAGCTTTTTTCCTTGGTAATTTTAGTAGTGTCCTCCTGCTAGAAGACTTTTCTGGGACTGTTCAGAAGGGTGTAACTTTCTAGCCATGACTTGGTAAAATAAACCTGTGGTAGATTTCCAGCATTGCTTTTGGTTTACTTTTACTGCGTCAYTGAAATCTGAAAATTCAGTCATCTGTTACCTGCATTTCCTCTGCTGTCAAAACAAGCACTTTCACTCTTTAACATTTCTCTTTGCATCACAGAAAGACAGAAAGTGGGGGATCTTTTCTGGTGGGTTGTCTTTCACTAGAGAATTTTGCCCTCTAAAAAACATAAATCAGAGCTGAATAATATTACCTAGTTAATAATACCTGGTGTATTATTGGAAGATGAGCCAGGGGGAGGGTTATGAAAATGGCTTTACGAAAAATAAATTAGCCCTTTAACAGCTGTGCTCTTGATGAAGTTGTTAGGAGTCTCTAAATTCCCCTTTGCCTAACTTGACAGAGGTGTTCTCTTTAATCACTTCCAGTCTTCAGTAGTTTATAAAGTATCTGAACAAAAACTGCATATCCAGTTCATTTTTTAATGTATAACTTCTAAGTGCAGGCCTTACTGCTGTGATTTRTTCTTGGTTTTATGGCTGTGTTTGTTCAGCTCACTGTTTTCCTTTTTGTGCATTTTGTGTTCCCTAGTGGAATACAGTGTAAAAAAGCAGTGTTCAGCTTAGAGTATGATGCAGCTCACTGCAATTGATACACAGACCTTGCTGAAGTAACCAAATACTTCATGTTAGTATTTTATATGCCAAGCACTGATTTATATGCTCTGCTGTCTATATTGTGACTGGTTAGACAGTCAGTAGAACATGGAGATTAATTAGGAAGAGCCTGCTTTGACAGTTTGTTAATGGGAATTACATTATTAAGGTTTAAATTGATGAAAAGGTTTTGRTTCTTGCACTAKYTCTTATTTCTTCTGACCTTCAGAGRAGAATTGCAGGACTTAGAAAWAACATARTTGGATGAAACAACTTCCAGTTCACGACTGTTTTTGGGTCATAGTATTTGAACATCTAAGTAAGAGTTTTGGGTTTGATATATATTAAAGCAAGTAAAGTAGTTAACTTGCTATTCTGCATTCTTAAAATTCAGGAAATGGAATAGTAGTCTTGCTGTTCCCASACTCTTGTTTTCTCTAGTTGCTTAAAGTACATTTTTCTCTTGATACCTTTCTTGGAAAAATCTCCTCTCAGAAAACTTGACTCAATTCACACCGCAGTGCCTCTTTCACAGCTGTGTAAAGGAGTATGTAAATCAGTGCCACGTGTGCATAATGTTAAATTCATAGATCATACAATCTGGACTCTAGCCTGCTCTGCTGATGTGCTGTGTCTTCTTGGGTAAGTTATTTAACCTGTTTTCTGTTATTAAACAGATACCTGCCTACCTCACAGGGTTGTTGTGAGGCTGTTCTAGTGATTAAAGTGCTTTTGGCACCTGGCTAAAAGGTGCTACAGAAATGTGAAAATAAATTCCAATTAAATACCCTCTGATCCCATAGGCCCAGCTGTCTGTTACTATTTCCTTTGTCACTTTGACTGTTTGAARCATCTTTTAGCTATGGAAAGACCTGATAATGCTTTTCATGCACATGACAGAACATTTACTTTACCAGTGTCTTAAATATTTCAGTAGTTCTGAAGCAAACATTTGAAGTTGTCACTTTCTTCTCTGCTAATTTCATTTTAGAAATCACCAGGCTGAAAATCCTCTTAGGCACATTTATTAAACTGCGTTAATGTATTTGCAACATTTTTTAATGATCCTAGGAATTTTTAATTCCAGTTACTCTGAATGGAAGCTTTCCTCTGTAATTGTCCTGAATGCTTCAGGCCAGTTCACATCACACCTTTTATCTTTTTTATCGAGTGTCGGGTATTATTTCCTGGTTGAATTGTTGCTAGTAGGGGTTAAAAGGTTGCCATAATTAAAGACATAGAAATAACCAGAAGGACAGTTGTGACAAATAGCCCAAATCTAGAAATAGTAAATACAAAACTGATAAATATGCATGTAAAAGGTTTGGCTGTTAATACATATTTTTTTCTTGCGAATTTTGCAAGTAAGACTCCTGTGTTATTGCTTGTCCTAAAGAACTGCAACACRATACATTCATTTAGATAACTTCTATTTCATGTGGACACTTTGAATTTTAGATGCCTTGGTAACAAACCAGATGCTGTATGAGGATTCATGGGGGTGGTACCACAGTTTAGGGTTGATTGTTTTGCATTTCATCATATGCAATACATCAGTATCTTTAATCCATGTAATTCACACTGGTGTGGATACTAGTCAGAATGTATCATTTGACATACTTGTATATGAAAAATGTAAATAAAACCATTTAGAAAAATGATTGTTTTTGTTTAAAATGTCTGTGTTTCTTCAAAGCATTTTCTTCCCCTGTTTTACTTTAATCTGGTTGTGAATTCAGAAAAGAGAATGTTGTACATACCACCAAAATCATTCTGCTTGGGGAAAAATGGGTGCTGACTTCTGTCAGGATTAAGTGATCAGAAGTCAAAGTAGAATAGAATTCTTGGCTAAGATGCTGATTAGTGGTCCTTCCAACTGAAAATACTGTATATATCACTAGCTGATTTTATTTAATTTCTTAATGGAAGTCATCCCCCTGAGAATCCATGCCCACCCCACYAGCCAGCCACATTTCTCCTGGTAAACTTCTGCTTTTGAGAAACTGCTGTACAGGTACTCTGTACAAAAACCCATATTGCACAGT